GCACCAATAAGCAATGCTTCCTCTCTACACGGCACCAATAAGCAATGTTACCAGACATTGAGGTCATCCTCTACACATTGCATTGAGTCCATTGGTATCAACAAGCCTGTAAAGATTATAGGATCAGTTTGTACCACAAAGCAGTAAAAACCTGGCATACTGCTCCTCAGTAGAACACAACAAACCTTGGACCTATTATGCCAATATTTCATACATTTATTTATTTTTATTAGAAATTTAAGCAATCACAAAACCCTTTACCCTCCTCTTTTCTGCTTGGTTCGTCTCCTCTCGTTTCCTCTCCTGTCTCCTAATTACGTCTTCTCTCGTCTTCTTCTTTCCTCTCCTCCTGTCTTGTAACCTCTCCTACTGTTTCTCTCCTCTAATCTGGTCTTCTCTCCTCTCCTCCTCTCCACTTGTCTCATTTCCTCTTCTTCTGTTTCCTCTCCTCTCCTCTTCAGCTCTGTAAGGCAGGGGGTCAAGTACCAGTACACAATCCAGGTGGAAGCAGACGGCCTCCTCAGTGATCCCTCCTCACCTCTCCTCTACAGTCATGGACAGTCCTACTGCGGAGATGGCTTCATACAGGGGTCTGTTTAACACGATTTACCACACAATGTAAATGTAGCCAACATGGGAGATAAAGGTGATGGTGGTGATGGAGGTGATGGTTTGATGGTTTGATGGTTCTCTCTCTGCAGGACAGAAGAGTGTGACGACAGCAATCTGTTGGACGGCGACGGCTGCTCTAAGAAATGCCTCAAGGAGATGAGCTTCAACTGTAATGGTGAGTGAGATCCACTCCACTGCAGAACACAGTCATACTACATCAAACCCACCAGATCTGCCTCTCTTACACGTGAAACATGAACATCAACTTTTAATGTCAAAGCGGCGAAATCTCTTATTTGTACACGCAGCAGTAATAAGAGAAAAATTCAAGCCAATCAAATTTAATTTACAAGACATAAAAGCTTCTGGCTGGAACCGATTCCACCGCATAAGAGGAAACAGATGAGCCGAGGGGCGAAAAGTGAGTTCCTGCTTTGCAAAGTCACAAGTCTCGTTTGGACATCTGAACCATTTTGACATTAGGCTGGCAGAGAAAAACATTTTTAACCTCACAACATGTCAGACATGTTTCCTTTATTGAATACGTTTCGGGCCTTTATGAGGTTTCAAGTAGGCTCGGGAATATTGATGAATGAAGTGCAATGATTTATTTCAAAGATTATGTTTTGGCTTTGTTAAAAACAGAAGAAAAAAACGTTTTTTTCATTGTATTTGATATGGTTTATGTAAGGTAAGTAACGTTTTCACTATGTCATCATTTCTTTTACACCCAACAAGAAGCTTGAAAGAACAGCCGTAGTTAGGGTTTAGGAAAGAACGCACAATTTGTTCCCAGAATTAACAACTTGAGATTTATGGTAAGAAGAGAAACATTAAGAAACAGTTTAGATATGTGGCTGCCAGAAAACAACACTTGGTGGGTGTTCAAGCTTGAGTTACTGAAAACACATTCACCTGTTATGGCTCTATTTTTATCTTTTTGTTCGAGATATTTTTCACTCCACATGAACACAGCGTGCCATATACAGTCGTATTAATGCATTTTAATCTTCTCCGAGATGTGTACGGAATATAATAATAACAACAGTAAATGCCATGAACTGACCCACAGACCATCCCCTGTGTAAATTCTTTGCACAATAACAAACAAAACATCGAGTCCTTTTTTGTATATGAATCCGATATACAAGTGAGACCAGCGGTGAAACGTTGGTCAGACAACGTCTAAAAAAGTAAAGTAAAAGAAACCAAAAACATGCAGCATCATGTGGTCAAAGACAAACAAAGAAGCCCCCATCGTCTTTAGACTCCACCGCAGGAAGACAATACTTGTGTCTGAAGCACGCAGACGGGCCACAACAGAAGCCTCCCCACATGGTACAGAGGGGGGCGACTACGTCTGTCGGCGTAAAGCCAGGCAGAGAGCCTTGAGAACAAAAACACCTCTTATAGTCACATGTTTGCTCGTGCATACCGGCTTGCGCACACTTGGCATATTCGGACGTCATGTTGCGTTATTAGGCGATGCCTCATCGCGGGCCGTCCCGTCCGTCCCACGAATGTCCCTGTTTCTCATTGAGAGGAGGCCACAGTGAGAAATCAGCACTGTCATTTTGGTATGTGTTGTTCTCTCGAAGCCTTGAACCCCCCCCCCCCCTCTAAAAAATAAATAAAAAAAACCTGCCTCCCCAATCATCGGGGAAGCTCGGTTGAATAAGTGTGGCATTTATAACATCCAACTTATTTTTCTGGGGCGATTTCATGAATATTCCGTACGTTGCTGAGGAGGGAGTGACGGCTGAGTGGAGATGATGCTCTCTGCTTCCTTTTTAGGCCATGTGTTGTTCCCACTAGCTCATTCATGCGTGGTGTGTGAGGGTTTGTGCGAGGTGAGTTTGTTACAGGGCGAAAATTTCCATCATCTAGTCAATTTATTTGTCAGCCCCCCCCCCCCTTCCTCCTCTCCCGGCCAAGGCTAGCCATCTCGTGACTGAAGCTATTACATCTCTTGTTTTACAATGAAAGACATCGTGACAAAAACAGTTTTTTTTTTTTCAAATTGCAACGCTTAAAACCAATTATTCAGTTGTACTTCTTAGTCAACGTTGGCTTGACCCAGTTAACTCCAACTATGCCGAGTTGTCTTGCTCTTGCGTTATTTGTGCTGATAGAACGTACCGTAGTTCTGCAGTAACCACACCAACTGCTTTTATGGTCATCTCGTCACGGCCAAGCTGCATTTGTTGTTAGTTGTTAGTTTTTTTAGTGTTATAGATTCTACGACTTGTCTTTTTAACTGTCTGATTAAATAAAGGTTACATTGCACGATATGATTACAGCATTGCAGACCTCAGATAAAAAACAGATGTTCTTAACTTTAAGTCAAAGATTGTCAGGTCGTCCTCTTTAGTGAGGCTCCACAGATACAGACTTGGAATTAAAAACACTTAAAGTGCAAAGCGGGGGCGGACTCCGGCTGACAGTAAGGCATCAAATTGTGTCGGCCTAATTTTACTTTTATCGGAAACACGTTTCCGTCGACTAATTGAAGCCAATCGGGCAGAACTGACTCACAGACACAGCTCCGTCTGTCTAACTTCTGCAGCTGTCCAGATGTTAATGAGGCCAAACTTGTGAAGTGTCTTGATGCTTTTATGAAGAGCTGCTGCATTACAAGCTGTTGTCTTCTGCAGCACATTATGTCATGCCCTTACTCTATTGCACTTGTATTCATTGCTCATAGCTCAGGTGCAACTGTGTTACAGGAAGCATAACAGCCTTTTTTTCTCTCCTGCTTCAATTCAAATATCATTAATTACATCCTTAGTAAGTCGTTGCCCTTTAGCTCAGACATAATGCAGGGCCTGCTGGCTAAGGAGCACATTCTGTCTTTTGCACTATAAAGATTAGTCTTTTTTTAAAGACTGTAATGTAACAAAATCAAGCCAAACAAACTATGTGAAAAGTTTGACATCTTGGAAAAAACGAGTTTTATCAAAGCACAACAAAATGTGGTTGAAACCTCTGGAAAAGCTAGCTTCTATTAACATATGGTCATATACCATGAACAGCCTTGAAAGATGGTTAATAGTCTTTATTGGCATGGCATTTTAACAATCATGTAATTCAGTGGAAACAACATTTTCTCATTCCCAACTCGTCACATACGGACACTGTTGGTGTCTCTTGGCTTCACATGGGTTTAGGAAACAAAACTACTTGGTTAGGTTTAGGTTTAGTAAAAAGATCGTGGTTTGGGTTACAATAACGTTTGTTACATAGCTTTAGTTCTGTAGGTTGTGTACTTGATGTAAGTTATGTGCTCCATGTAATTTATGCAACTTGAAATAAGTCAACGTTTGATTGTTATGTAACTTCAGTGACATAATCTACTTTACGTGCATAACGTGAGTTAATAAGTACTTTACGTAACATGTACGTAACTTAAAATAGGCCAAAGTTGACTGTTGGTTTCACACGGGACATTAACAGCGGTCTCCTGGGTGACTGTCCTGTGTCTGTTTGACCAGTCCATCCACCCTGACCCCCTCTCTATGCAGATACTATACTACTATACTATACTTCTGAAACAGTTAATATTACAGGTTTACTGGTGCATCTCCTACAGAAGCTAAAGCAGGAGTAGCTCATTGCTTTGATTGATTCCTGAGCCAAACATCAGCAAATGTGTAGTTTACAACCAGTTACACTGCAAGAAAACAACGGTAAACATTACAGTATTACAAAAACTGCTCTTCAATTTGATTTAACTTCATTTATAGTTTTAAGTTCAAATACAGTGTAAAATATGATGATGCTTTGTGTAAATCTGTAAATAGGTAAAGAGATATAAAACATATATTGGTGTGTGTTCAGGGCCCACTTTAAATGTTACGATGCAAATAATGTAAATCTGTCTAAAATCAAGATGTAACAAACAGAACAGGTAGAATTAGTAACATATTGCTTTCTGTGCCAAGAAGTTAAGACAGAGACAGCTTCACTAAATTGTGTCGAAATCTAGTGTTTAAACTTGGATGGACTATACAGTGCAATTTATTAGAAATATGCTCAAGCCATATTAAAAACCATATCAGACACCGAGGGCCACCACAACGCGTCAGTATTTTATGCCCTGGGAGCAAAGACCAGGCTGGTGGAAACCACTTCAAAATGTTTTGTCCCAATATCCTCCAGCAGATGAATCGAGTCATGCGGACACATCTCCGACAGAGTGTATTTGTCCATCAACAGCCTACGAATCAAGTGGTCAACTAATTGGCAGCCCTCGTTTTACTGTCAACTGTCCAGTAATGACAACATGTATCATGTTGCATTAGATGTAACTCTGGTGCTCCATTCCACGGCTGTGGACAGGTATTTATTGACCCCCCCACCCCCGTTGCGTCAATAATAGACCCAATAATAATACCTTCTTGTCTGTTGTTTAACTTTGAATCATTGCTTTGACAGTTCTTTGCAGCGCGTAAAGCTGCTGTTGTTGCTTGGTGACTTAGGGTTAGGTTTACTGAGGTGCTTTTGGGACTGAACTAACTGGCCAATTCACATATAAGGCGCTCTTACCGCGTGGTAACAAAACAAAAAATGTTGTGATCTTCAGTAATTAATTGAAGTCAAAGTTCATTTTTTACTGTAATTTACAGGCTGTTGACAGCACGGAGAGTCAGATACGGTCGGGTTGACGTGGCTGACGTTGAAAGCGGCCAATGAAAATACAAAGTAGATCTGCTCGGATTTGGTTCACTGACAAATAGACTTGGATGGGAGTGTAACAGCGGGGGATGTGTGTTCCCTGCCAGATTAAGAAACCAGGCTTTATATCCTTTCATAAATCCTCCTGTCTCATTCTCCTCTCCATCTCCCCAAGGCGAGCCGAGCCGGTGTTATGTCTTCGACGGCGACGGCGTGTGCGAGGAGTTCGAGCGGGGCTCCAGCGTTCGGGACTGCGGTTACTTCACACCTTTGGGCTACACGGACCAGTGGGCTTCCGACGCCGCCGCTTCGCACCAGGACCCCGACCGCTGTCCCTCCCATGCCGCCACCGGGGAGCCGTCACTCACCAAGGTATGAAGCTCGAACCACTGGGCACATAGAAAGACTTCCAGATGACAATAAACTCCCCGTGGAGGCCGTCGTGGAAACCCTGGACTCTGGGCTAACAATGTTAGCAGCTTGGCTACATCCCGAAACAACCGTATTCATCTCTGTACAGGAGGCTTGAAATCTGGAGCATATAGTCCAGCCTGATTTATTATGGCTCCTGTTACACAAACACAACTGCTCATGGAGTCCAGATACAGTAAAGTCCATTCAAATCAGATTCAAGGCTTTATTATAACAGTCTATGCTTTGAAATCAATATTTCATCCAGCCTTTGGTTTTTACAAGATTTTACATGAAACCTCAGTAGTAACACAGATATTTGTTGAGGACGAGTAGCAATATTCCTCAGCTGACTTTCTTTCTCTCCCTCTAACCTTTCTGGTCACTCACACTCTTTTTATCTCTCGTTTGCTCTTCCTGCCTTTCACTCTCCTTCTGCATTACTTATTTTGTTCTAACATTGTGAGCGATGACTCAAAGTATAAATCAGCCTTCCTATGAGAGAAGAGCCAAGACATTCAAATGTAAAAAAAAAAAAGCTCTTAAAGTGACCTGCATGAGTCAGTGCATCACTGGTTCATATGAAAGTATTTTTACTACTTTTATGAGCAGAAACCGGTAAAGACAAGAATAAAAGGAAGGGCTTCCACTATAACTTTGGAAGACATTTTGTCAGAACTTTATAAGACAGCACAGCGAGTTTGAATACGGCATAGCTCCTTTGTTGTTGTTTTTTAGTAGAAAATACACTGGTCATTTCCCCGCCCTGAACCCTCCCACAAAATGTCTGCAATCACACTAGGCCTCTCAGATCCATCAACGCTTGAAGCTGCTTGGACGGGCAAAGAACATGGTTTTACTTTTTCACTTTTAACTGTTGTCAATCTTCTCATTTGTACTTGACTCTTTTTATTTTTTTTACATTAAATTCATTTTCATTTCATTTTCCTTTATTTACTTTCTTTTTTCTTAACAAATTTTTTACTTCGATTTTTTATATTTCTATATTATTTTATTAAATTTGTATTTATTTGTTTTTTATATCAAATTTGTATTGTATTCTTATGTGTTATTTATTATTATTTTGTTATTTTGAACAAGCTTTTTCTTTACTTGCTCTTTATTATCTCTATCTCTCCATGTATGGAGGTATTCATTGAGACATTTAGCTGTCCCGGCAGTGTCTGGACATTGAAACCTAAAAACAGAAGTGCTGAAACTTCAATAAACAAAAGGAGCATGATTTAAGGTATCTTCATCATTGGAGGACTGTTGGTGTCAGACAAACTGGTTCCAGCATCTCAGAACTGGCAAATCTCTCTGGACTTTTCACACTACAGCCTCCGTACGAAAACCAATCAAAGTGTCACGAATAAAGTCAGCGTGGATTATCACTTCACTACCAGAGAAGTTTGGCTCTTCTCAACACACAAAATAGTCTCACGGTAGTTGTGAAATTAGTGCAAAACCTGTAATTCAGTTTATATAAACTGTCCATTGTTGCACCATAAAGTGGAATATGTGACGAAGCCACGAATTAGACCATGTGCCAATAGAACCAATGATTTTACATGAAGTGTTTTTCACATTAAAAGGTGAGCTAAAGTGAGGTTACCATGGATTATATCATGGATTATAGACCTATAATTATCTGTAACTATTGATCATGTAATTAGCATTGTGTGTTCTGTGTGAAGCTCTGCAGGTACCAGCACCTGGAGGTGAGTGACAAACTGCCCACAGACGCCTGGTTCCCTTGCACAGCCCAGTCCGACACTAATGACCTGGAACATTCATTTTGGCTGAAGGTACGTGTGTGTGTGTGTGTGTGTGTGTGTGTGTGTGTGTGTGTGTGTGCGTGCGTGCGTGCGCACATCTCATATCTGTTTTCCCCTCCACTAAATGACTGCGGGTGGCTATTCCATCTTCAACAGCTTCCAGCACTTTCCAATACTTTTAAAATAATGAGTTTTGAAGGGCCTCCCACACAGTCTGCATGGCTTAAACCTACAGACACATACACACACACATACACACACACACACACACACACACACACACATTCCCAACATTCTAACAATTGCATGATTCATACAATGCTTTTTTTTTTTTTTTACTTTAAGTACTCTTTTTCCAGGACAACTGCAAATTATCGGCACTAATGATCTGTAGACGATTACTCAAATCATGACTAACCGTCTACTTATTCTGTATTTACATTTGTTCTATTTTTTACTCAGTGGCTACTAACTACCAAAATATTCAGTAATGACCATTACCAGTTAACTAATAGTGGGAGACCAAGGGTTATGTAATTGATATATCTTTCGTAATTATATACCTAAAATAAGTTTTAGAATTTTTGGCGTCTGAGGGAATTGTTTTGTAATTATAAATAGATCATTAGGAATACATCATTTACAAGTATACTTTATTATGACCCCAGAAGATGCAGACCAACAAAAAAAAGTAATTATTTATGATCATTAATCCCAATTCCACTTACTAATTGTTTATTTGTGAATTAAACACATTAGAATTGATGACAATTGATGTTGGCAGACAATTACAATAGCTGCTGTTGCCGTAAAGATGATGTCCTAATTGCCCTGCTTATCTGTGCAGCACCAATACTCACAAGCCAGCGTTCAGAGGGATGTCCTGTTTGTTTACTGCACAGTATTTTGGACCTGACTTTCCATTCCCCACCTGTGTCTGGTTCTCCTATTTAGTCGTGGTTGTGCGATTTAATCTTTCCGCAGCCACAGTTCCCACAATCCACTGTGCAGGTCCAGACTAAGCGTAGGCAAGCTGTTGATTTGAGTGATGGCTTCAAAACCTTTCGTCCGTTGTGCTCCGGATTATAGGCTCCTTGAGTCATGAGTCTGCCTCTTTTTTTCCTTGCACATTCATTTTTTTTTCTTTCCCTTTCATCAATTCCACTTATTCGTTGAATTAGTCATCTTTACATTCCTTCTTCTTTTATGGATGTTCTCTTTATCAGGCACATCTCTAAACCTCTTTGGAGGGGCCGCCTTCTCCTAAAGACTCTTTCAACGTCTGAAAGGGCCTCCATGATAACACCCGTATCTGCCAGCTCTCCCTGAAACACTTCAAGTGTTCTTTCTGTCTCTGAAAGGCCTCCCTCGCCTTAAATATCTTGTCTCACTTTATCTGAAAAGCTTTCAGCTATCATATCCATCTCTGCCAGCTCTCTAAAGGCGCCCGTCTCGTTTGACAGTTCTTATACTTCCTTTGGAAGCCCTTCTTCATTTTTATAGAAGTGATACTCCAAAATCCATCTTTTGAGGATGAAACCTCCGCAGTCTGTCGGCTACAGGTGGCTGTAAAAAGTTGAAGTTCCGTCATAGAGAGCAGAGGCCGAGGAGTTATGACATTGGATTTCAGACCCTTCGCGAAGCCACGCCCCCTGCTTTTACACCGTCAAGCTGTCAGAGCTACCATGGAGCCCACACTGTCACTAACTGCACTCCCTGAAGAAATATGATCTCATTTTTGGATAATGAAAAAGTGATTTCAGAGAGAAGCAGACCTTTAGGGTCTACAACATGTTGTTCAACATGTGTTTGAAGGATAAATCCATGATGTCAAACTGATTCAGCAGAGAAAACAGTTAAAAAGCTAAAGATAGAAGCTAAAGCTACAGATCACAGTGTGAAAGTGAACCACCCCATCACCTGGAGATCCAGACAGAAGACAATGATATTAAGGAACAACAGTGTTCCTGTAAAGACTGGTAGGTCTTTATTCACTGTTACAGTCATTAAAAAGCTAAAGCAGCATGTGTAGACCTTCCGTAGCTAGCGTAGCATAGAAGTGCTCATGCTAGGTAATGATGTGCTAAAGTTCTCTGCTAATGTTAGCTCCACAGCTTTTGACGTAGAAACGTAATGTTTTAGAAAGGTATTTTGCTTCCAACCTCTCCAGTTAACAAGTATCTCTATTACACAACTTTAACCGTGACTCACTAAATCCACTGAAGCAGCCTGAAGATGAAGGAAATATTAAAACACTGCACGAGAGTCTTTGGAGCAGAGCCGGGTGGTCGTCAGACCCTGGTCGCAGCTCTGCTATAATTGGCTCGTTTGCCTCTCAGCATAATGCAAAACCATGTGTTATTCCATCTATTCACAAGGTCGACAACCGGAGTGAAGCCGTTGTTTTTTTCTTATGACAGAAGCTAAGGAGGATGTCAGGTGATGTAGTGTAAAGAGCAACAAAGTCCATAGACAGAGGAAGACGAGGTGGATGGACTGGTCAAACAAACACAGGACTTTCACCCAGGAGACCGCTGTTCCTGTCCTGTGTAAAACTTAACTTATGTAACATAACAAACAGATTTATTTTAATCCAAACCATAATCTTTTCCTAAAACTAACCAAGTAGCTTTGTTTCAATTCACAAAGTGAACCACACGTTTGTGACAGTAGGTGCAGTTTGCCTCGTCTGAACCAATGAAATGGTAGCGATACCAAATGATAATGGCCATTGAATGAGTTGAAAACATTTGAAATGTGTGCACCAGCAACTAGAACAGCGACAAGGACAAGTGTCAAGAACCCTTTGACATCCAAACAACAAACCACCGTGTTCATTGGAAAGTGCAACCACGCTGGACCAAAGCTGAAGGGTTATTGCAAGAATGACAAAACGGCAAAACCCCACATTGAAGGATGTACAGTATAGTTCAACTCTGGCCAACATCCTATTCTCACAGGACTTTCAATGACAAGTCCAGATGTCTTCTCATAGCATCAGATCAATCTTTTTTATCCTTCAATCAAATCAAATCATTGCTGCTTTTATTTTACTGATCCAGGTGGGATTTGTCCATCCCGGAGTGGCAGCTTCTGTGATGGTGTACCTGGCTTCAGATGGGTCGTGGTCTGGGGAGCAGTGTCGGAGGACAGCTACCATCCTCCTGTCCGATACTACTGGGAAGAACCACTCACTCGGTACGTTTTACTTGTATTGATTTGTATGTATTTGATTATATGATAAAGTCAAAGCTAAAGGACTACTTGAAACCCTTCCATCCACCTAGGCACACATGACCTCTCATGCCATCGGAACCCGTTGGTGGTGAACGTGACCCATGACCTCTCTCGACCCTTCTTCATCACGGCCTCGGTTATCCTCCTCTTCTCCTCCCCTTCTGTGGCAGTGACAGGTGTGGCCCTGAGGACGTCCTGCCACTTCAGCACCTTCGCCCTGACCGGGTGCGCATCAGAGGGTGGGCTCTCCCACAACTACCTACTTAACACACACACACACACACCGTATGCTTTCACACACACACACACACACACACACACACACACACACACACACACACACA